CCTGCAGCGGCCGGAGCTGCACGTGATAGCCGAGCGCGGCGGCTGGGCCCAGCGCAGGGGACCAGCTCACGCGAAGGCTGCGAGGCCTGACGTGAGAAATGACGATGCGTTCTGGCCCGGCCTCATCTGCTGGGAGGGTTGGAAATGGGGCCATGAGCCGGGTGGCCCCCAGCCAGCACCCGCCCCCCACGCTCCCAGCCCAGCTTCTCAGCCCCAAGGTTTCCTAGAACCCCAACATCTGGCCCAAGTCTCCAGCCACTGGTAAAGTCACAGACCCACCCCAGCCCTTACCCCCTCCAGGTCGGCCCCAACTCACCTGGCAGTGTGTGCACTCGCAAGTGCTGGGGCCTCACGAAGTGCACATTAGACTCAGGCACTAAGGTCACGTCATAGTCCGAATCAGGGTCAAGGCCAGTCCAGGTCCAGCTTGTGGTGTTCCCTGGCAGCTGCTGGCGTCTCACAGCCCTGGGCTCAGCACTGGGCACCAGTTCTAACACGTAGTAGCCAGATTCCGCAGTCAGCAGGGGTGGCCAAGCCAGGTGGAAGCCATCAGACATAACCTCAGATGCTCGAAGCTGCTGTGGCTGCATGGCATCTGCGGTTGGTGCAGAGGGTAAGAAGACAGAGGTTACCTCCTAGGTGCTGGGTGGTGGGGCCCTGGACTAATCTAGGCAAGAGTAGGACAGATGGGGACCACTGGGCTAGGAAAATGCCCGAGCCAGGCCAATCTTGGCTGCCCAGCAGATACTAATAGGCAAAACATTGACTACACTGGGGGGATGACAGAAAAAAGGGTGCATCAGGAGATTCCCTGCCTGTCACGGCCCCAAACCCATGCCTGTAGGGTGAGGTCAAGTGGTCACCCCCCCACCTAGACCAGTGGCCTAGCGGAGGTCCCTCAACAGTGGCAGGATCCATGGTGGTGTCTGAGAATAGAGCACTAGCCCCCCAGCCCGCGTGGCCAGCACAGAGTCTGGGGAGAGCCGAGTTCTGGACAGTTAAAGAAATGGAGGCTGCAGAGGCAGGTCCTGGAGGGCAATGGAGATGAGGCAACTCCAGAGGCAGCTGGACTTGAGGTTCAGAAGGTGCTGCCTGCCTCAGATCCCTAGGAAAGTGTGACTCAATTGGGATCCTTGGGTTTTGTGAGATCACATGGCCATCTGAGTGACTTGCAGGCGAGAAGGGCTGATAAATGTCTGGGCAGGGTTAAACCCTCAGGGCTTGGTCTTCCTCCTCCATATATTCAGTGCCTGTCCCCCATGTTCAGATCTGCTCCCGGTCCCTGCAGCCCCCACACACCACTACCTGACTTCTCTGCCCTGTAGCCTTGGGGGGTTTCTATCTAGCTGCTTAAGGCAGCTTTTTCTCCTTGGTCCAGATTTGACTGCACTGGTTGACCGGGGATTGGCTGTCCCTGGAGGAAATCTTGGAGTGGACCCTCCACCCTTCTCCAGCCCACAGTTCAGCCCCATCCAGCTGCAGGTAGATGATTAACCCACAGTCATACACTTGCTAAGAGCCCTGGGGTTAGCGGCATTTTGTTAGTGACTATAGCAAGCTTGGCTGGGGTGGAGGGTGGGGCTCCAGAAAAAAGTCAGTGGGGTGCTGTTCAGTCCCGAAGCAGAGTTCCCTGGTCCTGCCTCCTCCCCAGCAATCTCTGTGGAGGCCTGTGGTACAAACCAGCAAAACCCCTCAATAATTGTACTCCCTGAGTTCTGTAGGAGGCAGTCCCTGACTTCTGGCTCCCCAGGTGTGAAGGGCCTGGTAAGCCAATCAGTGCCTGGACGCCTGGACATGCACAGGAGCACATGCCGCCCGTCTGCAGAGCCCCCAGGTGGAGAACTTCTTCACCCTTTTCACTTAGCCATATCCCACCAGAAGTAGCCCCTCACAGGGTTGGCAAGTGGCATGGTGGTTAAAGGCACTGGACTCCCACATGGCCAACCACAGTTCGAGTCCTGGACCTGGTGGCTTGCTTTCTCATTTTCCCTTCTTTCTCTCTCACTCTGTCCTCTGGTTAAATTTAAATAAATAAATAAATAAAGTTAAATAAAATAATTCTTTAAAAAAAAAAAAGAAGCAGCCCATCAGTCCCATGGCCCAAATCAGACTCCACACTCATGGGGCCTCTGGGACGGCAAAGAGCCCCCCCTGGAGGTGGTTACTTAGATCTGCCTCTCTGTCTTTCCATGGCACAGATGGCAGGGTACATGGAGGTGCCCAGTTGGAGAGTGTCCCTGAATGGTGAACAGAAAAGCTGTGTCACCATTGCACTCTTGCAGGTACCAATCCCAAAGCCCCGGGCCCTACTCTGGAGACATGAGTTCCTCCTGAAGTCTCAACCCAGCTGCTCCTGTGGCTCCCAACTAGGGCTTCCCTCAGCTCTGCTTCTTCCCACCTACCACCACCTACCAAGAACAGAGCGCCTCAGCTCCTGGGCAATGATGTGCAGGTCGTCCACGTCCACAAAGTGTAGGTGCTTCTCTGCAGGGGCAGAGGCAGCAGCTGACAGCTCTAGCAGGTTGCCTCGTCCGGTGCTGACGATGAAGACGGTGACACCCAGGTCCTTTAACTCCTGCATTGGAGGTCCCACGGGGTCGCTGGAGCCACCATCTGTCACCCACATCAGTACCTTGGGCACCCCTGGCCGGGCACCCGCTGCCTCAGCAAACAGCTGCTCCTTGGCATAGGCCAGGGCCAGGCCTGTGTTGGTGTCACCCATGCGCTGGGCCGCGACACGTATGGCATCCTGGACAGCCCCGCCTGAGCTGTGATGGCCGAAGGGGAACTCGGTGTACGGCTGGCTGCCCACGTGTACCAGGCTGACACGCAGGGCTCCAGGACCCAGGGGCAGTGGAGTCACCAGCTGCCCCAAAAACTCCCGAACTCGGGAGAACTCGTAGTGAGACACGCTGGCCGAGCTGTCCAACAGCAACAGCAGGTCCCCCTGAGGGACTGATGCTGAGGGGCCTAGGGGAAAGGATGAGGGTTCAGCCCCAGGTAGTGGGCCCCCTGACAGCCCCACACCCAGAGCAAAACTCCCTAGAACCTGAGCTTTCCTTAAGCAGGTGCTTGTCCTTGCCTGAAGGTCCTGGGAGTGGCACCCCTGGGGGAAGAGGAGTTCTGAGCCAAGCAAGAGGCCTACACTCTGGCTGACCTGGTGGGGGTGGTGCCAGCACTGCACACTCGCCACATGACCCAGGGTTGCCTCTGGACTACTCTCCCATCTGTAAAGGAGAGCTGACTCTTACAAACCCCGCACCCTCTGTTTTCTCAGCAGACACTATATGCTGGTGGCACCAAGGGTCCTGGGCTAGGCCCCCAGGAGTGGCCTGAGCCACAGGAGCTGCTCCCTTCAGGCGTGGCTTTCGTATTTATTTTTTTAAAGTTTGCCAGAGGGCGTGTGTGCTCACCAGAGAGACAGGAGAAAGCACTGCCTAACGGGGTGTGGTCATGCTTCAGTCCCTCTCCATTTCTCCGTCCTGCCGGGATTTGGGGCTCGCATACACACGCACCTGGTAGGTTTTTCAAGCCCCTGGGGCTGGGATTTGAATGGTGGTTAGTCATGTGGGACCTGGCTCCCTTAACCACTAGCACAATGGGGTGACCCCAGGTTTGATTTTTAGAGAAGCAGCCTCAAGGTAAGAGTTTAGCCACACAGCTGAGCCTCCAGGTGCACCAGCCCTGGGTGTGCACACAGGAGCAGCAGCGAGTGGGGAGCAGAGGCAGAGGGATGGGGGAGGCAGAGCAATGAACTCAGCCCCCAAGCCCTGGCTAGGCTGGAGTCCTGACCCCACTTACAGATGACGTCACCCCTCCTCTGGCCCCCATCCTCTGCTCTATCTGAACAGCAAAGCAAGGTACAACTTCCAGCAGCCTGAGGGCTCAAATAGCTCCTTAAGAAACTCTTCCTTTTTCCTAGTGTGAAGGGCTCGAGTGGGAGGAGGACAAAAGACGGGCCCCTCCACTATCGAGCCAGAGACAGGGGCTCAGAGTGCCTAGATTCTGGTCCCAGCCTTGTTTCCCTGGTGTGGCCAGGGAAAGCACTAATCTTCCCACCAAGAGCAGGGAAACTGGAAACTGAGGCAGGAGCAGCCTCCCAGACAGATATCTTTTTTTTTTTTTTTGGGGGGTTTTCGCTAAAGGGGGGGGGGCCTGCG